GTCGGCAGTGTCTACTACCTGCCAGGCAGTCCTAAGGCCTCGCTCGTGTTCGCTCCTTACAGCACCCGACTGTCCTCTGAGGGAGGTCCTGTCACCGTCCCCATCACATGCGTGGAACTAATTCCTGCAAGTGATTAGCCCAGGGCCCTGAGCTCAGCAAATGTTGGGAATTGTGCATTATTATTATACACAGCAGCTGGGACAGCATGTGGCTTGCTAAAGTTCTAGTGTTCCAGTGCAGAGTAGGGTGACTACAGTTAACAAGAAGATATTGTATATTCCAAAATAACAAGAAGAGAGGAATTTGAATAGTCTCACCACAAAGAAATGATAAGTGTCTGAGGTGATGGATATGCCAATTACCCTAATTAGATTATTACACATTGTGTACATTTATTGAAACGTCACACTGTACCCCATGAATATGTACAATTATTATGTGTCAATTAAAATAAATTAAAAAAAAAAAGTCCGGTTCCAATCCAGCCCCTACTGCTTTCTGGAGGGAATGATAGTGCTCACTGTGCAGCGTGGACGGAAAGACTGAAGGAGACAGATAATGGGTGTGCCGAATTATATGGGGTGATGACTTAATGCTTGGCAATGCTGAGTGTTTACTGTGCCTAGAGCTCAGCTGGGGAAACCTTGGTGGGTCGCTCTGGTAGCAGAGTGGGGAGAGGGAACCCAACCCAGTGCTGGGGATCTTGGAAGCGTTTCTGGAGGAAAGGGGTCCTGAGCAGAGGAGGAGGAGCCGCTGGGCCCAGGGGATGGTCTGGTGGGATACTGTATTGAGGCAGAGGGGATTTGGGGAAAGCAGGGGGGGACGGGGGAGGGAGGAAGGTGCAGGTTCTGGAACTTCCAGCTGGCTGGAGTTGCTGGAGAAGGAAGAGCTGGGTGGAGAGGGCAGGAGATTGGAGGCAGTGGGGGGTCAGGGAGGTGGACTGTTCCTGAGGGATAACATGCAGGTTTTAAGCTTTTTATTTGAAACAATTTCAGGCTTACAGAGAAGAATTTCCATACATCCTTCTCCCAGATTTCTTGGTTGTTAACTGCCTACATTTGCTCTAGCTCTTTCGACGTGCACGCGCGCACACACACGTGTCATTTTCTTCAGTACTTACATATCCATCTGTTTTAGTCTGTTTTGTGTTGCTATAACAGAAATACCTGAAACTGGGTAATTTATAAAGAAGAGAGGTTTATTTGGCTTATGATTCTGGGACAGCTGCATCTGGCGTGGGCCTCAGGCTGCTTCTACTCATGGCGAAAAGTGGCAGGCAGCTGGCAGGTACAAGCAAATCACATGGCAAGAGGAAGCAAGAGAGAGAGAAGAGGTGCCAGGGTCTTTTTAAACAAGCAGCTCTCGTGGGAACTAATAGAGCAAGAACTCACTCAGGACCCCCACCCCCAGGGAGAGCATTAATCCATTCATGAGGGATCCGCCCCCATGACTCAATCAGTTTCCAACACTGCCACATTGGAGATCAAATTTCCACATGAGTTTTGGAGGGGACAACACATCCAAACTCCATCACCATCTGAGAGTTGGTTGAAGACACAACTGATTCTCCTTTACCCCTAATTACTTCAGTGTATATTTCTTGGAAAACAAGTAACCACAGTAAAATGATCAAAATCAGGAAATCAACATTGGTATACACACAACTGTCTAAGATAAAAACTTTATTCAACATTCACCGATTGTCCTAATAATGACTTTTATAGCAAAGGAGAAAAGTGTTTTCCTAGTCTGGGATCCAGTGCAGGATCAGGAGTATAAGTGGGTGTCTCTTCAGCCTCCTCCGATCTAGGACAGTCCCTCTGCTTTCCTTTGCCTTTCACGGTCATGACATTTTTGGGGAGCTCAGGCCAGTCACTTTGCAGAATGGCCTCAGTGTGAGTGTGTCTGGTGTCTCCTCCT